TTTGTGTTGTGTATAAGTGTGGCACAATGTTTAGCAAAAAAAAATTCCATGATGATTGTGTGGAATAGCTGTTTCACTTGTGTATGTTTCATCGGGAATTCGTTTTGGTTAAGTTTTATTTTTTGTACTGAAGACTTATATACTAGTTGAACTAAAAACACCATTTTTTAAGTGTATTATGAGTTGTTGCTGAGAAAGTGAGATTTATTTTATTTTTATCTGATTCCAACCTAAGTTGGACCTTTATAGTTTCTGTACTCTCGTTTTCTTGTACTTATGATATAGTTCTATTAGTACTGATTTGTAATCTCATTCAGCGTAAGGCTTTTAAAATTTGGTGCCAAATTTTGTTTGAACTTCTTAAACTTTAGTAGTTGAACTTCATAGTAAAAGTTAAAGCACTGGTTTAAAATAGCTACGTTTAAGAGATAGCCCTATTAAGTTCAAAACTACTTCTTTCTCAAGGCATTAATTGGTATCATCATAGCACCTACCAAATAAACTAAGTTGTACTGAGATTTCAATTGTGCTAGTACTTTGATTAATTATTTATTTTTTGTGTTGTTTGAAGCTAGTACGTCTTCTATTGTGTTTCTTATGATTTTTCTCCTTTGTCGAACTGATATCTTTTTGATTTAGTTTTGGCCTTCTTTTTTCTAGGATGTGGTTCTTCTCAAGGCAATGTTTGGTATAATCATAGCACTTGTTGTATAGACTAAGTTGTACTGAGATTTCAGTTGTATTATTACTGTTATTCTTAGTGTGTCACTGTTTTAGGGAATGCGAACTGAAGCTTCCACTTCCTTTTTATATTTTGTAGAATGAATGTACCGTGTGTTCAAGTGTCTCAGAACTTTCAGTCCTAGCATGCTAGTGACTATGAAATACGTACTGATGGTTCTTTGCTTTTCCTGTTGCAGTACTTAGTGAATTTCTAACTACTATTAGCACGATGCTTTTAGTACTGAATGTTGTCCTCGGCCGAAACTTAGTCTTTTTAGTGTTCTTCTGAAACTAAAAACTGATTTTTAGTGTGATAGTACTACCGTTCATGTCTAAGCTGTACTGAGCATCCAAGGCTACTATTTGCTTTGGTCCTTAGTTAGTCTGCCACTGTTTTTTTGCAAAAATATTTATGTGTTATTTTTATTTCTCCATGACTAGTGCTGTGTGGCAGCCATCAAGTTTCAACTTCAACCTACTTTAACTTCAAATGATGGATCAACAAAATAGGAAGCTAGCAAACTTGTTGGATGACATAAGCAAACGATGTACTTGATAGACATAGGCAAACATGTTCAAACCCTGACACACATAACATAAGGTAGCTGGTTCAACATAACGAAAGCAAACTACAAATTTGAAACAACAAGACTAAGGACATGCAGAAGCGCGAGCAACACGAATGCAGACTTTCATGCATCTTCATCCTGCAAAGTTGCAGTGGTAGTAGGGGTCAGCCTCCTGCTCTTTTGAAATATCCCAACCTGTCACGATGTTGTCGATTGTCTTCCATGACTTGTACGTTGCGTACGCATCTATTCCTGCGTACGTGATGAGGTTGTCTGGCAGCGGGCTGGTCCCCCACAGTTTGTGGTCTGCCCTGTCCATCTTCTTCTTCATGCCGTCGTAGAATGGGTGGATGACGCCGCCTGCAACATCGGCCAAGGAGTCGTAGTATTTGTCGGTCTTTGGATCTTTCCACTTGCGGTGCATGTCGATGAAGTTGTTGGGGTTGATTTCCAAACTAGACTTGTCCAGCATCTGCTTGTCACCTCCAATGCTGAAACCGACAAATGTGTACAATTTCACCTCCTGCAGGAAGTCTTTGAGGCGCTTGGGTCTGCAAGGGGGGAGACACACATTTAAAGATTAGTCTTCTTTCTTGAAGATTTAATTCTTCTTCTTTTTTTGGTTTTACAAGTGATAATCCATGAGGTAGATGCTTATATATTATGAGTCATGGATGAATGTAGTTCAGAAACTAGTACACAAAGTCCTGAAATTAAATTCAACGACACCATGTTATTTTTTCTTTTTTGCTATCTTCATTGCTTCACCAAATGCTTCACCAAATTCAAGAACCATTTTACCAGAGTCAATGATATATGTGCTGCTTGATTCAAGTTTAGTTTTCTTTTTTGTTGAATAAAAGACCTATACCAGTGCTTGATACATCTTTATGCATTAATTCTATATCAAGTTCAGAAATTAATTTGAGAAACATGTGCATCAAGATATGGACCTATACCACTTCACCAAAGATCTTTTAATACATCAATTCTATAAACTATACTAGTGCATCAAGATCAGAATCTATGCTAGTACATCAAGTTCAGAAATTAATTTGGTTCATCAAGTTCAGAATGCTATAAACATTTTTCAGATGCTAATCTGGTGAAACAATCCACTTCACAGTTTCAGAAATGCATGTAACTTGAGAAACATGTACTCGTGCATCCACTTCATAAACTATAGTAGTTCATCTAGTTGGGAAACAAGTTTAATTAAGTTTTTAGTGAGTAGTACTAGTACAACAGATGAATGAACAGTAGTATGGTTTACCATTTTGTGGCTGTTGTGATGTGGTATACCAAGCTGAGTTCCTCGACGCACAACTGCAGGACTGCCGCCGTCTGTGGAGGTTCTTCTTGGTTGGTCCGATGAAGCTCGGATACAAGCCACCGCCCTTCATCCTAAGCCTGCTCATCACCTCGTCGACCTTGTCTGGTACGCTGGTGCAGACGATCTCCAACGTCTCCTTGCCGTGGACCTCAACTCCTTTGAGCGTTCTGGTGTACTCGCGCTTCTCACCGGGGATGTGAATGTCGACGAGGTTGCTACCCTTGTTTGACGTCTCGCCATGGTGACGCTTGGCGGACGGTTCCTCTGCCATCACCTTCCTCCGACGACTATGGTCTTGGGAGAGAGAAGTTTTTGGTTTATGTGCAGTGGAGATGGAAGCAGCAACGGTGGTTCTGTGAATGAGGCAGAGATGGAAGACAATGGGGTATTTTGCAGTGCATCGACGGTGGTGTGTGGGAGGCGGTTCGCCGGGGGCGTGGGTGTGGTGGTCTTGGGGGTCGCCGTTTGCAGTGCCTCGTGGCAACCTCCCAGTGGGTGGCGTGGGTGGTGGCCTGGAAGAACTAACCGTCCAAGACAATTTTTTTACTACTGCATTGATTAGTCTTGTCAAGCTGTACTTACAATCTGCTAAATCCCACTTGCACGTCTCTGCGGTGGTAATGATGGCATTTTGCACTATTTAGGTGACGTATGCTTTGTGATGTTTTTCCGTGTGGATGTTAAGTATTGTGTTTCCATTGAAGTCTTATACACTAGTTTATCTCAAAACATTTTTTCAGTGCCCTCGGAGTTGTTGCTCAAAACTTGTACTTATTTTCTTTTCATCTGTACCAACCTAAGTTAGGCCTTTATAGTTTTTATATTCTCATTTCAGTGCACTTATGGTTTAGTACTGTGTGAACTGAATTGTAATTTCATAGAACACACGGGTTTGAAATTTGAAGTCACAGTGGTGCGAGTGGCCTGACTGATCCTGTTGTTTTAGTATTGATGTCATATGTATGTTTGAACTGAGTTTTTTTGTTTTATGGATGGGGGTGGGGGTTTGAGATTATTTTACAACCAGATCGTTCGTTGTGGTGTGGACAGACTTTATATAAATAAGAAATTTAGCATAATTGACAAACATTATATGTTTGAACTTTTTGAGTTTTAGTAGTTGAACTTCTCAGATTTTATATAAATAAGAAATTTAGCATAATTGATGAACATTATATGTTTGAACTTTTTGAGTTTTAGTAGTTCAACTTGAAAGTAATATTTAATTCGGTTTTTTAAATTATGTACATTTAACAGATAGGCTATTAAGTTCTGTTCTTTTTAGAGGTTCATTGTTTTTGTATCATATTTTTTCCTTTTTTCTTGTAGAGATTAATTGACAAACATTTTTCTTGTAGTTTATATTTCTTTGTCCCGCCCTCTGGTTTGTATACCCGGGCTTATTGGGGGGGTGTTTTGTTGACGATGCAGGCTATTGGGCCATTTTCCGGCCCAGATAGCTCGTCTACGCGGCTGTGCAGTGTGTGGTGCGCGTGAGCTCTGGGTTTAGTCCCACCCCGCTAGTCGAGGGGGCTCCGGACCTGTTTATAAGCGCAGCCGAGGCTCACCAGTCGAACTCCTCTAAACACTTACCTGAGCGCTTATACACGACGCTCGCTCTCTCTCTTGACCTGTGGGCCCTGGTCAGCGGGTCCTATGTTGTGCGGATTACTAGGGATTCACCCACGGGCTCGAGTTCAAGTATCTAGCATTGTCAGGGCCTACGCCTGACCTTGGGCAGTCAACTTTTTTTGTTTTTTTGTTTGTTTGAATCTGGTACTTGACTCCACCAGTAACTTGGACTGATACTTTTTGTTCTAGTTCTTGTCAGTTTTGTGTGAGTGTAATCTTTTTCATTTGAGTTTTTTGCCTTCTTTTTTGTGTTTGTTTTTGTGATTATTCTCAAGTGTCTTCTGGTGTCATTTTCAGAACTATGGTACTTGCATGTAGACTGAGTTGTACTGATAGTGCATTCATAGTAGCGCTTACGGACTAATGCTTCTTTGTTCTTTTTATTGTAGTAAGTATGTACTGTCCGATCAAGTGTACTGAGTTGTACTGACATGGAACAACGTTGCGTGATTAGTTGCATCATAACTAGTACTTTAGAGCAGCGACAATGTTCCATTCAGAAGCTACTTTTCAATTTTGAAATGATGGATTAACAACATACGAAGCTACCAAACCAAACTTATATAATGAGATAAGCAAAACATTGTACTTGATGACATAACTAAACTTGTTCAAACATGACAAGCACGAAATAATCATACTGGTTCAACCCAACAAGAGCAAACTACTAATTTGAAACAACAAGATAAAAGGCAAGCACAAGCGGAAGTAAAACGAAGGCAGGCTCTGATGTATCTTCATCCCTAAAAGGGGCAATAGGGGTGGTCGTAGTAGTGGTCAGCCTCCCGCTCTTTCGCATATTCCGAACCATCTGTGATGTAGTCGATTATGAACCATGACTTGTACGTGGCGTACGCATCTACTCCTGCGTACTCGATGAGGTTGGCTGGTAGCGGGCTGGTCCCCCATAGTTTGTAGTCTTCCTGCGTGTTGATCTTCTTCTTCATGCCTTTGTAGAATGGGTGGATGACGCTGGCTGCAACATCAGTCAAGGAGTCGTACTCTTTTCCGGTGTATGGAACTCTCCACTTGCGCTGAATGTCAATGACCTTGTTGGGGTTGATCTCCATACCGGACAACTTCAGCTTCTCTTTGTCGCTTTCAATGCTGAAACCGGCAAATGTGAACAACTTCTCATGCTGCAGCATCTCGGTCAGGCGCTTGGTCCTGCAAGGGGAGAGACATTTTGAATATTAGCATTACATTGATGTTTGAATTATTCATTTTTGTTTTGTTTTACAAGCGATGAATCCATGAAGTAGTTGTTTATGTAGGATAAACAATGGATGAATGTACTTCAAAAACTAGTAAAGAAAGTTCTGAAATAAATTAAGTACATCATGTTATTCTTCTTTTTGGATTATACATAGTTTCAGTCAATGTTGTATGTTCTGCATTGGTAGCCCTGTGCGTTCGGTTTATTCGGTTTACATGATTCGGTTTATATGGTTTTTCGGTATGTACGGTATTAATACTTCGGTAAATACGGTATGAACATAAAATACGGTTCGGTTTCGGTATATATCAAATTATTTCGGTATGGTTTCGGTATATACCGTAAAAACCAAAGTTGACGCGAATTTGAAAATGATGTAATAATAATTTACAAATTTATGACTCAAAACACATTCTATTTTACACAAATAGTATATGACTATATATATAAGTATATATGCATGCATTGATTCATCTGTTGATGGTTATGGACGTGCTTAGCATTTTAAAAAGAGAAAAATGACAATGTTACAAGAAAAATGTAGGTGCTTAGTAGTGAATTTGACTCATGTACAAGAAAAATGACAACTTGTACGGTTGTTCATCTCAAGAAATATAAATTTATCTTTTACTTCGGTTTATTCGGTTAATCATTCGGTTTTTCGGTATATACCATACAAACCAAAGTTCAAATCGGTATGAAAAGTTCATACCATACCGAAACCAGAAACCATAAAAACAAAAAAATCGGTTCGGTTCGGTTTATTTTCGGTATGGTTTTTCGGTTCGGTTTTAAAATGCACAGAGCGATGCATTGGTACTAGTTTAGTCTACTTTTGTTGAATAGGATAACACATAACCAGTGCTTCACCAAGTCCTTAGTTTATTTTCTTATGAAAATAACATTAGATCAAATTCAGAAAATACTTCACTACATCAAGTTCAGAAAAATCTTTTTAATACATCGAGTACATAGACTACACTATTGGATCAACTTCAGAAACTACACTAGTCGATCAACTTCAGAATTTAATCTTCCGCAAGATTTTCCAAATAGTAATCCAGTGCATCAGGTTCAAAAATACATTTATAGTGTATCTACTTGAGAAAATGCAATAGTGCATCCACTTTTCACAAACCACACTAGTACATCTAGTTGGGAAACAAGTATGATGAAATTTTCAGGATACAGTACTAATAAAACAGATAAACTGTATAGGGCAAATGAGTAGGATTGCTCACCATTTTGTGGCCGCTGCGATGTGGTACACCAAGCAGAGGTCGTCGACGCACAACTGCAGGACTGCTGCCATCTGGGGAGGTTCATCTTCGTTCGTGTAGTGCACACCAACGCCGATGATCCTACGATTCGGACTCTTGCCGCCAAGCTTCCTCTAGAGCCTGGAGATCACCTCGTCGGCCTTTTCTGGTACGCTGGTGTAGACGATCTCTAGCGTCTCATTGCCGTGGAGCTCAACCCCTTTGAGGGTTGTTGTGTACTCGTGCTTCTCACCGGGGACGTGAATGTCAACGAGGTTGCTGCTCTTGTCCGACGTCTCGGCATGATGCCGCTTGGCGGACGGTTCCTCCACCATCACCTTCCTTCGCAGACTGTGGGCTTGGGAGAGAGAAGTTTTTGGTTTGTGTGTAGTGGAGATGGAAGCGGCAATGGTGGTTTGTGGGAATGAGGGAGAGATGGAAGAGAATGGGTTTTTTTGCAGTGCGTGAACGGGGATTTGTGGGAGGCGGTTCGTCGAGGGCATGGGTGTAGTGGGTATAGTGGCGTGGGGTCACTGTTTGCAGTCCCTTGTGGCAACCGCTCAATGGGTGGCGCTGGTGGAGGCGTGGAAGAACTAACCATCCAAGTTAAATGGTTTTTACTGTTGAACTGACTAGTCTTGTCAAGTTGTACTTATGACCCGCTAAATCCCACTTGCACGTCTCTGCGGTGGTGATGATGGCATTTTACTGTTGCACCGATTCGTATAGTCAAGCTGTACTTATCAGTTGCTTATCCCACTTGCACGTGTCAGGGTCGGTGTTGATGGAGGTCTGAACTCCTCTACTGTGGTACTTGGACTGGTGATTGAAGAACATACCAAATACCAGTGAGACTATGTGTGGTGCTAATGTTTTTTTAAAACAATTTTCGTATTTTTTAAAGGATTGTTTATATCAAGATAATCTCTGAGTATTTTTTACAGATAAATTAGATTTTCATCAGTACAAGATGTATTATATTCGCATTTTGCTTGAGGTAATTATTTTTATGTACTGATGGTCTTTCTGAATTGGGACTGGCAGAAGTAGACATAGCTTTGTTTTTTCAAAACGATGTTTTTTAGGCGTTCACGGGTGTGTTTGTTTTACTATGCCTTTGTACTGACGACTGAGAATTATCAGTACTGATGTACTACAAGAGTTTAAATTTTTCCTTGACATATTTTTGCTGAGTTACTAGTCGACAGTAGCGTTTGCGTCAAATATATCGAGATAAGTTTTTTCAAATTTATTTGTGACTGCATTCAAAAGGATTATCAAATGGTTTACATAATAATGTCACTGCTCCAGCAGGCACAAATCTGAAATTATATCAGTACTGATGTGTACTCTGCCTTGTACTGACGATTGAGAGTTATCAGTACTGATGTACTACAAGAGTTTAAATTTTTCCTTGACATATTTTTTTGCTAAGTTACTGGTTGACAGTAGCGTTTTGCGTCAGATATATCCAGATAAGTTTTTTCAAACTTATTTGTGACTGCATTCAAAATGATTATCAAATGGTTTACATAATAATGTCACTACTCCAGTGGGCACAAATCAGAAATTATATCTTAACTATAGTACTGATCGAGAAATAGACGATAAAGCTAAATAAGTTTTGGTAACGACAGTGTTTCTGAAATGTTTCCTCGTTGTGTGCTGATGCAACTGAGACTACAAGGTTATTTTTTAGTTAACGCAGCAGGATAACCACTATGTATTATTCAGTCTTGAGCTCCTCCTAACTGTCCCCGAATGTTGTGCCTTGCCGACGCCCTTTCCTGGTTGAGCCTTGGCAGCTTCATCGTCAGTTTCAGTTTCCTCGCCCCCGACACTGTCATCTTCATTGTCTTCGTATGATTGGTCGTCATTCTCGTCAAACTCTTCTTCTTCATCATCTTCATTTGATTGCTTAGAACTCTGTACCTTGCCCTGTTTCTGTTCAGCTCCACTGGCCTCCACTTTGCACGTGCGGGCATTATGTCCGTCAGTTCCCCCACACTTGCGAAAAGTGTAGCTGTTACGTGTGTTGTCTCCATTGGTAGAAAGCTGGGTGGCTCCAATCTGCTTGTTCTTGTTGACAGTGGCATCTGTGCAGAGTGGGCATGTGCAGTAGTTATGGTTGCTCACGACGTTGCAGAATCCGCATGCCCTTATCCCGAGAGGTTTGCCGTCCGGGCCAAATTCCACGCGCTTGATGGGGCGTGGTGGCTTTTTGGCTGATGCTTTCGCATCTTGCGTCTTGCTCTTCCTCCCCTTTGTGTTTGAGAATATGGGTGGTTTAATCACCCTTTCCTGCTGCTGCTAGTAGGATGTGCTATTGTCATGTCGTTCGCCTACAGCACCATCAAGCTCATGATCTCGCATGTGAGCTTGTTGGTTCTCTTGAGTGTGCACATGGGCAAGCTCCGGTTGCTGCTGCTCCTCTTCCTCATTGTCAAACGTGTCAATAGCTCCCAGATGGTTCATCTCGGATAACATTGTTGCAATATCCTGCTCAATGGCTTCATTGTCCGCGACACCTCCATTTTCAGCGGAATGCATGGCGTCGAGTTCTTGTTCAAGTTTGTCCATGACGACCCGCGACCTCACCAGTTGCTCTTGGCTTCTCAAGCTTTTTCTGTGCACCCTCATGTTCAGCGTAAACAGTGAGCTTTCAATGCAGTATTGGGATGCCTTGTTTGACGCTATTGTCCTCAAGTCATTTCTGTCAAATGTTGGCTGGATGTTCGGGTGTTTGGTGTATCTCCTAAGGATGTATTTCTCTGGAACGCTGGTAGCCTTAATTGTCTGCATCATGCAGAGGACATGCATGCAGAAAAGACCTGTATTGTTTTTGGAAGAGGTGCATGTTTTTTGTCATTTCATTCAAACAAAAACTTTGCAAAAAAAGTAGTACAGTATGTAACATCTTTTTTGTAGTCCTCACCTGTGTGGTCCCATAGCCTGGACTCGCACTCATATGTTTCTCCCACGGGGTTTGCAACCACCTGGAACGTGTGCTGAGCCCACATAGACAGTTTTTGTGGGTGGTTGTAGCGCACGAGGTACTTTGTGGACTCTTCCGTCTCTGTCGCCGTGAAGAGTGTGCTCAGTTTTAGCCTATTTCTGATCTTGCTGTACACAGCTCGTGTGTACAGCTTTGCCATCTGGGTGTCAAACCCATAGAAGGTCAGCGTGTTTTGTTCCTTCTGCACATGCAAGAATGATGACCAAATTGTTAGTTTTCTCGCAGCAAAAACTTCTAATAAAGTTTTACTTTAGTAAGCATGTAATTTTTTGTCTTACGACAAGTGATAGAGCTATACACGGTTACCCATTGTCTCCTGGTTCTCTGTCTGCCTCCTGGTTTTGACGCATGAGTTTACCTAGCTGACAAACCGGTGTAGGTTATGTCTCTCACTTACGTAGTTCTTCTTGAGCACATAGTTCATGCTCTCACTTTGCTGTGTGGATGTCATTTTGGCGCAAAAAATTTCTTTGAAGTAGGCTGATATCCATCTCTCATGCTCGTTCCACATGCCCACCATTGTGGCATCATCATGGAGGTTGTACTTATCCATGAGGTTCCAGGCATCCTCAAACTCAGTTGGCATGAGGGGCCAGTTGAGCATTGATGTGAATTCATCCTTAAAGTCAATGTGCAGGTAATATAGGTATGTGAGGTGTTCCCTGTACTTCTTCATAATGTGCCAGCGGCATAGCTTATGTACTGTGTTCTTGAAAACATCTACGATCGCCAAAGCCATTGCTGGGCACTGGTCTGATAATGAGAAAATAGACTCGAAGTGGTCAGCAGATGGTTGTGCATATATACAAATAGAACTGACACAACATTTTTACTGTGTTATTTTCCTTTTCTTTTTTGGATGGGGGGTGGTGGTTGGGGTGGTTTTAGCGGTTGTACTTGTGAGGATGCATGTAGGAGCCTTACTTCTCATGCACCTTAAAAATGTCTTGAGCAGCCACTTGAATGAATCTGCATCCTCATCTCTTATCAGGGCGAAACCAAAGAATGTAGTATGTAAGTGGTTGTTAGTTCCGACAAACACCCCAAGTGGCATATGGTACTTGTTGGTCTTATATGTTGTGTCAAACGTTACGCAGTCTCTGAAGTCCTGATACGCCCCTCGGCAGCTTGCGTTCGCCCAGAATATGTTCTTAACTCTGTCGGACTCATCGAGTTGCATGTCACAGAAGAATTCCCTGTTTATAGCTTTCATCTCCCTAAAGAAGTTGACAGTCTTTAGGACATCGTCCACATCATCAATCCTTGAATTCTTTGCTTTCCTGCATATTAAAAGTTCATTGAAAAATGCATGTTGAACTAGCGTCAGGTCATGCGTTGCGTAATATGTTTGTACTGATAGAGGAAAAAAGACAGAGGCGGTTTATGGGAGGAGAACAAGTTTGTACTTAGAGGTTAATCAGGTCTTTGGCATTCATTTCGAGGAAGTAGCTACCAGGGTCATCACCGCCGAGTATGCTCATGATTTGCACGTGTTCAATGCCTTTGAACTGTAGGTACTTGACATACTCCAAGATTGTTTTGTCAAAGTTTTTGTGGGAGTGCAACAACACAAGCATTTCTGCGGTGAGCTGTAGCATGTGGTTGTGTTCCCAGACTATCTCTTTTACGACAAATGTTCCATCCTTTTCCTTCTTCATCCTCATTTTAGCCCCGTAGTTAGTTCTGGCTGTCGTGTTGTTATGCTGTCTATTTGCTTCAGACACCTTGGATTCATAAACTCCATGGCACGTGCAATAAAGGTAGGCTCTAGTCTTAAACTTGGGGCCTTCCCTGACAGCAAAACCCGCGTGCTTTGCATATACGTTGTAGAAGTTCTTTATTTCTTTGAAAGTTTCAAACCTCATCTCTAGCCTTGGCAGAACGTAAGCTTCAATTTCAGGTGGCTGCACGCAACAGTGACCAAACAAAAACGTAGTTATGAAAATGTTAGATGGGGTGGTCACAGCACCATGGTATGGACTATGCTTGTATGTTTTTTCTATATGGATACTTACATGTGTATAGCTCTGCGCTGCC